CAATTTAAGTGTCGGGTAAAATAGAATCGGGTATTATTCAGGGAGCCCAAGGAGTAAGCCACATCAAAATCGACTTTGTTTATATTTTGCCATTAATCATCATTCACTGTTTGCAGATGGTTCTGGGAGACGGCTGACGTGTATAGTCATTTTATTTTCATTCAATTGGCTTGCATGACGGTTTATACGGCTTGTGTCGCCTTCCAATTGGATATTGTGAGTTAAAGACATGAAATTCTTAATTAACCACTAACCGATTAGTTTACAGCAAACCCGTAATTTTGGCTTTGGCATCATTATAATATTGATCTCAGTTATGGTTGGAATATCGAATTTATTCGTATATTGTTTCTACGGCAAAGTGGCAATGGAAAGTTATGCACGAATGTCCGTCAGTTTTTATGAGGCAAATTGGCCAAATTTTCGCATTGATTTACAAAAGTACTTTATTTTAATGATTAAAAATGCACAACACCCACTTTATTATCATGGATTCAATATTGCTATCTTGAATTTGGAAACATACACTAAGGTAAAGCAACTGACTAAATTGCAGGATGTGAAAAAAATGGTTGATTGATTTTCAAAACTTTCGGTTTTTGCGTTTCAGCTGATGAAAACTGTATTCACTTATTATATGCTTTTCAAGACATTGACTTCAAAATAACAACGATAACATATAGATTTTTGCTTCTGCGCATTTTAAAAATGAAGGAACCTCATTATTCAGACATTATCAAAGTTGAAGTGATAAACTTAACACGCAAGTAATGACCAAATGTTATGCCATCATTTATAATTGATAGATTTTGGATAAAGAAAAAAATTATTTTACTCTTATAAGTCTCTGAGTTTTTTTTTTTTTGGAATTTTAATTTTTAATATATTTTATTTGTCGTGCAAGCACGCATTTTACGGTGTTAGTTTAATAATATATTATCATCGAAGCATGTCTTATATTTTGAATAATTAAACAATTTCTTTAAAGTGATAGAAAAACATTTGAATTTTATTAGACATTTTTCTAAAATTGAAATATTTTTATTGATGTTAAAGAGCTATGATTTTAAATAATTGAACAACTTTCACACAGTAATTTAACTTTTGAAGATAGATACGTATCACATGGAGTGCGTGGAGTGATCGGACATGCAAATGGGGGTCTCGATTCAAAATTCAGTTTGAAAGTCTCCTCACTCAAATTGCTCAGACCCCCTTAATATTGTTATTGTTCAAAAACCGAATATCTCAAAAAGAACCCCCTTTTGGATCCACACTGCATGTCTGAGTGTGAAGAGTGCATAATAAATTAATTGAAAATAGAGAAGAATTTAATAAAGAAATTAATACTCCTTCTATAATTAAAGAGATTTTTTCCCCAATGAACTGCTATATAAATCCAAATCGAAAATAAGAAATTGTTAGTAAAAATCGCGCCTTTGAAGAATTTACACGAAAAAGAAGTTAAAACGAACATTAGCTGTTGCTAAATAATTTTTAAGTTAGTGACCAATCACTTTACTTCTTGAGAAGATTTTATTTTTTTGTAAAAATTCGATTCTAATTTTGAAAAAATGAAACTAAATCCACTTGTAACAAATAAGCGAGTGCTAACTTTGCTTTGTGTATATCCAACAAACAACCGTGTTGACAGATGGACGAAACTTGGATACATTGTATTTACTCTTATGGTGATCGCATCAAATGTGTGTGGTTTGATTGCAAGCACATTTTTTTTCGTTAAATTTGTGTCCACTGACTTGGAATCGTCATTGCATGCACTTCTGCAAATGTGTGCATTAACATCAGCCACGTATATGCTCCTCATTGGCATTCTGGCACGACATAAAATTAATACGATTTTTCAGAATTTGAACAAGATCTATGAAGAAGGTAAACAAACACCAAATGTGAAAATCGAATTTTTAAGAAATATTGATGATAAATTGTTCTGGGTTTGAATTTTTCGCCCAAATTATTCAACTCGTGGTGAACGAGTCTTTTTTTGTTACTTTAATTTCAAACAATACAGATTCAACGAAAGATTCGTATCGATTTTTCGAAAAAGCAAATAAGGATAGTGAACAAATTTCAAAAAAGTACATGGTTTTTGTTTTGATTGGCTTCTTCATTAATACAACAATGATGTCTGCAGTGTCTGTGATGATTTGTCAAATTTTTTACGGCAATTTTCAACCAAAATATGTATATCACCCATTCCAAGTACTGTAAGTTTTTTTCAAATGAAAATAAATCAAAAATAAACTTTGAAAAACTATTTTTTAAATGCACATAAAAAACTATCATGTACTACTATTTTACTGACCTGATGTTCTTGAATTTTCTTTATTATGTGAGTTTGCCTAAACTATTTTTTAAAATAAAATAAAATAATTTTTTGCCTATTTTTTATCCGAAGGTCACATTTTTTAATAAAAAAAGGCAAATTGAAATTTTCTTCGACCAAATAAATAATATAATTTAATAATTAATTTATCCACAATTTTTTTTCTTTAATTCAATTAATCCCGATGATTTAAAATAATTATTTGTTTTATTTAAAATAAATCTCAGCATTTTCACATTTTTTTTCGTGCACTACCAGAGTTCCATGGGAGAAAACCACGCCGAGTGGATATTTTTACGAGATTTGCTTTGATGTAATTTTCGGTGACACGTATCTATTATCGAATGGATCGCTGTTAATATTCTTCGTGTCAATTTGTTTGCATCATCGGGAATTTTCAAACCGATTTCAGCATTCCCTACAAAAACTTGATCACGTGGATAAATCATGGAATGATAAACATTTTCTGTGTGAATTGATTCGATTTCACAATTCGATCAAGGAGTGAGTCACATTAAAATGCCTTGGAAAATCAAATTAAAACATTCTAAATTGAGATTCAATTTCCATCATATTTGTAGATGGTTTTGGGAGACGGCTAAAGTCTATAGCCTTTTCATTCTGGTTCAATTGGCTTGTATGACTGTTTATTTGGCTTGTGTTGCTTTTCAACTGGATATTGTGAGTAAAACACGTGAAATTCTAAGTCCACCATTAACCTATTAATTTACAGCAAATCCGTAATTTTGGCTTTGGAGTCATTATAATGTTGATCTCCGTTATGGTTGGTGTATCAAATCTATTTGTATATTGCTTCTGTGGCAAAATGGCAACGGAAAGCTATGCACGAATGGCCAGCAATATTTATGAGGCAAATTGGCAGAATCTTCGCGTTGATTTTCAAAAATACTTTATTTTTATGATTGGCAATGCCCAACTGCCGATATTCTACCATGGTTTCAATATTGCCATTTTGAATTTGGAGACTTTTCTCAAGGTAAGAAACAATTTGATTGAAATTGAAAATTAACAAGGAAAATAACATTGACATTGGTTGGACTAAAAATCATTTTCATGATTTGCTTTTTAGTTACTGAAGACGGTCTTTACTTATTATATGCTTTTCAAGACATTGACTTCGAAATGAAGGCGACTACATATAGTATTTTATTTCTTGGTGATTTTCTAATTAATTAGATTTAATTTAGCATATTTGTTCCGATCGATTCAGATTTTGCACAAATTCTTCTATGTATTGGACGTTGTTGACAGTAGGTGAATCTAAGAATTGATCGTTGTTCCATTGAACAAAAAATGCAAAAAACCAAAATACAGTTGATTGAAAATAAATATTACGAAAACTAGCAGTCAACCATTTAGTCAATGTCAACAAAAAAAATCTCTTCTCCAATAAAAGTTCTCCTTAGAAAATCGTTATTATTTATTTTTTGAAGTCGAAACATCCCATCAATTTATAAATTCTATGCTCTGAAGAAAAAGAAAGAAAAAAAAACTCGTGAGTTTATCGAAAAAAAAATATGAAGAAAAAATGTATTTGCAAAAAAAGAACCAATTGGTTCACATAGAAAAAAAAATTAATGTAAACGATGATTGTGTCAAAAATGAAAAAAGTTATGTCAATTCGATTGAATAAAACGCAAATAGTTGAGTGCGTTAGTCATGCCTATTCTACAGTCGTATAGTCTGGATCGTATCAATCATGCTTGTGTATTTGGCTCTTCCTGCAAAAAAAAATAAAATTAATTAGTCGGAGTATTTCTAATTGTCCAATATCCATGAAGTCTACTGAAGTCTGAATGCTAAACTCAAATTGTATAAAAAATGGGGACTTTGTCAAAGTTCTCAATTTTAGATTTAAAATCACAAATTGCGGATCAAATTAATTGATTTGATGTGAAAATATTGAAATAAAATTATTCAAATAATGTAATTTGAATTGTTTTGCATTTGAAATCAGATTAAATAATTTATTTTATATTTTATTTGACCAAATTCAAATCAAATCAATTTATTTTATTTTTTATAATAAAATATATTTTATTGATTTTTGCTTCAAAAAAGAGAAAAAATTAAAAATATTTTTTCAGTAAAAAATATTTAAAAATTCGAATTAGCAAATACTTTTTTCGTTTTAAATTCTGGTTTTCGTTTTATTGTCTATTTTTTAGAATAACATGTAGCGCTTTTATTTGTCAACTTTTTTCCAAGGCGAATATTGGAAAATGTATCTTTTTGATTTTGAGAATAATTGATTGAAAATAATCAAATAATAAAATAAAAAAATGAATAATTGATTTGGTCTGAAAATAATCAAATTATAATGTTTTAATAATATTATTCGAATTTCCGTGTATTTCAGGCTGAAATTTTTAGTTGATTTAAATGTCTTGAATTGAAATATTCAAATAAATTGATATGGAATACACGACAATTCGAATTACACTTTTTGAACATTGAAATTTGTACATTTTCTTATGAAATCAATGAACCCTGGTATTGTTGAGCATTTTTTTCTCGTAAACCATTTTTATTTGATTTATTTTTTGAAAGCAAAGAATTTCTTACGAATTTCCCACCTAGCTACTTTAATTTTGTATAAAAAAATTTTGGTATCATAAGTAAATTTCACTCACCAGTAGATCATGCGACAATTATTGGTGCAAAGAAACGGTATGTCTGGTTGTCTTCGGCATACGATGCACCATTGTTGTTTTTCAGCTGCTTGCAATTTTTGCGCCCAATTTATTTTCGTCTGTTCGATTTGCTTTCGAAGCATTTGATTTTCGCCCATCAATTTATCGTAGTCCAATTGATGTTGTTTTGCATCATACACCAATCGCTTGTTCGCCAATTGTAGTTCACCGACTTTATTTTCCAAATGTCCCAGACCAGTGCAGAGGCGTTTTGATTTTTCCAGATATTCCTTGAAGTTCATCTTTAAATAATTGATTTGTTCATTTTGTGCTGCTGATGGTGGTGGTGGGGTGGATTTGTCTGCATTTGGCAAAGATGATGATGGTGCAGACACATCGGTGAACTTTCGCTTTTTAGGCAATGAATTTGGTCGAAATGGTTTGTTGTAGGTACTATTGCCGTTGGTCGTTGGTTTCTCGTTCTGCTCATCGTTCATTGTAAACGAATTATTTGTTGGCATTGAACGATAATTTTGTTGGAGTTGTTCGGCCGGACGAACACGAATCAATGGTGCAGTGGACATCATTTTCGGGCGACTTGGATCTGGTGATATCGGTTTGAGTACGGTCAATTTAGGTAAAGTCGAAATTTTTGATGGAACTGATTTCGACAGAGACATTTTCGAAAAAACGGTACTGCCAGTTTCATTCCGCAAATGGAAATTTGCATTGAATGGCGTATAGATTGCTGCCAATTTATAATTGCCGTGTTCTTTGGACCAATTTTCGATATAAGCGTTAGCTACCTGAAATTTGAATGATGTAAGTTAGAAGATACAATCTAGAAAAGAACACAATATACCTTTACAGCCGCTGTAAAGTTGTCGGTGATGGGCTTTTGTTCACCACGATTTGGCCGATTACGGGAGTACATAAAACAATCCTTCACATCAATATCCTTTTGTATGTCATAACCGAAAATGCATACAAAAACTTTTGAATCGACGACCCGCATACATTTGGCTGACAATAGAAAATCGGTAAATATTTGATGCATTTGAGGTTTTTGTAATTGGAAAATATCTTTTTTACCTGGCCAATAGCTTGAATCGCATTCCATCCATGCCCATAGCACCGGGTGGGCCGCTTGGCAAACCATTGTGGCATAACGATCTGTATGTTCCCACGAATTCTTATGACATTCCTGGATGATAGAATTTTTAGTAATGTGAAAAAAATATATTTTGATCAAACTATTACCACGCATGCTTGTATACTGTTCACTTGATTGACACAGTACACATGAAGCCGTTCAGCAATTGGTACCAGCTTTTCTTCCCCTGTAAATTGAATTAATTTAATTGCATGTACTGATCGACTAGTACGGCTTTTTTATTCGAAAAATTGCTTTCAATATTGCCACACACAGAATAAATCAACGAGTCAGTCTTACCTTTAATATACCCCAAAATGCACTTGTGTGTTGTCCATTTGATGTCGTCCAAAAATGTGCCGAAATTGCTGTATTCGGCGAGCTTTGATTCGATGAGAACCAACGACTTTTGAATCATCTGTGTTCCTACAAACTGAAATTGAGTAAAAATTGCCATTGTATTAGTCGTATCGACATTGAGCAGTTTGTACTTACAACTTCATCGGACAGCAGTTTATCGAGCAATCTTTTCAACATTTCACGATCAACGCTGAAAATGAGCAAAAAATAATTATTTTTAATTGACATTGATTTTGTGTCGATATTTTCCGTGCCAAAGGAAAGTTTGAAAAATGTTGAATGGTGTGTCACCACGTCGTACAGCCGAATTAAATCGGATCACAGTCAACATAAGGTTGTCAACACAGTAAAAAACTGCACTGACCATAAACAGACTTAAGAAACATTGGATCTGTTCAAAGACCTTAATACTATCTTGACTATTTGTAAAATACCACTGATCACCACTGATACATTTTTTACAACTCATAGAGAGTAAATCCAAAAATCGAGTCAATCGGGTTATGCCGACGATAACAATACAACCGGCTTCTGGTCCGGCCAGATAGTATGTTTCAATGGTTTTCATATACTCCCCACTTGGCTTGTCTGTTTTCAACCAAACTGAGGAAAAATCGCGATCTGTGCCGATGGAGTGAGTTGTGATCAACGAAATTTATCAAATTTCATTAACAAACCATCAAAAAGATGAAAAAAAAAGTTACCTATCAAATTCCTTGGATCGAATGTTGGCAATTTTGCAGTCCGGACAAATGGTCTCGTTGCGTAAACATTCCGTGTGATAGATGTGGTAGCATGATCCGCATTTTTTCTTGTCATTCGATCCTTCTTTGTGACATAACCAACAAAAACGATTCCAATATTTCTGAAACAATTCCCAGCATTTATTAACATTGTAGAAAAAATATTGGTTACACATTGAATTGTTATCTGAAAATCGTTTGTTCCAAGAACAAACACTAAACATTTTTCAAATAAATTTGCGATGGAAGCAAAAAAATAGTGAGCAATTATTGTTGTTGAGCAAACCTTACCTTGGCACTTTCGGTCCGTGGTGCTAATAATCCAACACAATTTGTCTTCCCAGCACTGTTTTCTTGCTTCGATTGATTTTCCATGATCTATTTTTCACGAATTGGCCAATTCTTTTTGGAACAACACAGTTATTTCTACAACAAATGCAATCAACAAAACAATGTGCGCTACACAATTGATGACGTGTACTTCGCTACAACACAAGTTTGACAGATGCTTACGTAAGCAGATTATGTTTCGCGAAAGAGCGCGTTCATCCAAATGGGTGCGTTTGATTGCAATCAATTTGCAAATTGATTCAGTTGATATATTTATTCAATAAAAAATTGAGCAAATTAATTGGATTTTAAAATATCTTTGTGCGAAAGGCTGGTAAATAAATAGTGGATTGTATTTTGAGCGGCGAAAAAATGTTCAATAAATTTTTTGATGCAATGAACGTTTACAACATTTCCAAATTCAATTGAATTTATTTCGTTGGCATAATAAATCGAAGTGTTTTGTTAGTGTTGGATCTATTTTGAATTACACCGAATTGACATGAAATTACACTGATACATTTTACATCGAATATTTTATGTAACGAGCATAAAGAAATTGTATTTTATGTTTATTCATTAATGGCCAAAGAATGGTAAGCTCAGGGGCAAATCACTTAAAAATTACTTATTAATTATTATTGATTGTTTTACGATTATTTTTCGATTAGTTTCGATTATCGTCATTAATTGTAATATATGTATTACGTATGAGATTGTCAAATGAAGGTGATGGAAATTGAATCTATGTGTAATAAAAAGAGAGTTTGTGTGTGTGTGGATGAGTAAGTGAGTTACTTACAACTACCAAATCTCAATTTAAAGCAATTGCTGGACATTATTGTTGTTGTGGCTATTGCTTTGCAATTTTTTCATTATATGTTTTCGATTATTTTCAATTTTATTCTTTTCTTTTGTGATTCTCCCCTGAGGTAAGCTTAATTACAACGTTTTTGGTACTTTCCGTCATGCCTTGATATTCAACCCCTAGGAAACACAAAACCAGATTTTACTTTTCCGCACACACCTAGTGTGTAAGGTAAAGTATTGGAATCGGTCGAAAAATTAACACCCTCAAAAAACATGTTTTCTGGGTGTTTTAGGAGTGGGGGAACACGAATCTAGCGTTTTTTCGATGTCCGAATGTATGTGCGTGGTACGCTGTACGCTGTACGCTGTACGCAAAAATTTGTTAACACGATAACTTTCAAACAAGAAAAGTAATTCAAAATCTGGCTTCACAGGATGATTGGGGGTGCCGAGGAATAGAAACCATTAGATTTTGAGCGACTTTGGTTGACAGAGTAAAGTGTCATGTCTGGTGTGATGCCTAGGGGCTTTTATCTTCAAATGTATACGATTTATACTGTAAATAGTGAACTATATTGCAGAATCATCTGTAATACGCGCAAATAAATGTGCATAACTGCATATATTTGGTGTATATTTCGTGTATATTTCGTCTATGGCATGTTTTTTCATTCTCTTTTGTGCGGATCTTCTTCGATTCTGTGTAGCTATACTGTGTATGTGTGTACACTGCAGTTTGAAATACATCTTATTCACTGGTATAGGCGAGAAATTTTAATCGTATATATGATGAATAGGACGTGAATATTGTGTATAAATTTGTATGAACGAATGATGAAAGCCCCTAGTGTGATGCCCATGGCCATCCATGGGAAAAATTCAATTTTTCTTCCAAAAGTGATATTTAATGTATTCTTAAACACTCAGAAATGTGTATTGGGGGGTTTTTGGGTACGAGAAAATCGAATATGACGTTATTTTTGCGATACAAATAACTTTTGACACACTTTTCATACAAAAATTTAAAAAAAATTGAATTTATGTATGAAATCCATGTCTGTATGATATCGTAATGAGCTGAAACTTTGCACAGGTTATTTTTATCATACAAAAATACCATTTCGAGAGTTTGAAGACATTTCAACGCATATTAGGGGTACCTCCCGAACAAAAATTTGGATTTTTCGCTCAAAAACGAAATTTTGTATGGGAAGTACCCTTAATATGCATTGAAATTTCTTAAAACTTTCAGAATGTTAACTTTTTGTGAAAAAAATAACCTCTGCAAATTTTCACAAGATTACGATATCATATAGGCATGGCTGCGATACAAAAATTCCCATTTTTAGTAGTTTTTGTATGAAAAGTGCTTCGAAAATTATTTGTATCGTAAAATTAATTTCAGATTCAGTTTTCTCGTGAATTCTTTGAGTAAAAGATTTGTAATAAATGCATGTTGTGGATCACGGTGCGGAAAAGTTCATCTTACGGATGTAAGACATTTTATTTTCAACGGATTTACGACGAGAAATTATTCGTAGAAGAAGTATAATATCCTCATAAAAATTTTTTTAAATGTTTATAAAAAAATCTCAGAACTCAATCTTGGAATCGCAGTAGACATTTTCTTTCGAAACAGTCGTTTATATTTCTGACACTTTCCAAATCAAGTTCTTTTGAAAAACCAGTTACAAATTAATCTGCAAAACACATTGCAAAAATTTTGGATCGAAAAACAACATTTTTAAAGTGATATTTGTAAATTTTCTTCATTTATTCATAGAAAATGTGTAAAAGTGATTAAACAAAATTCTGTGAAATAAAGATAGAACTACTTGCAAAAGTAATAAAAATCGAATTTATTCATTTTTGATGGAAACATCTCATATCTATATGCGTATCGAAAGATTTTCATTAAATTCTCTTACAATGTTGCAATATTCTTCTGGATCCAATCATACAAGTACGAAATACGAGCAAATCCATCAGGATAGCCTAGGGCACATCTTAAATTTCAAGCAAAACACAAAAATCATTGAACAGCTTCCAAGTGAGCTTTGATGATGAAAATGTTGTGGGAATAATGAAAGACTTACAACACAGCCCAATTTGCCAAGCCGACTACTTCATCCCCAAGAACCAGCGGTCCGCCTGAGTCACCCTACGTTTCGAGAGAAAACATTTTAAAACCAATTTTATGCGATGGGAAGTAGTATCGTATATTCCCCATACAAATTAATTTTATCGATTCTACGAATACGACATCTGTTAAAAAAGATACCGATTTTTGTTACTACTGTTGCTTTGACACAGCTCGAGCGAACTATACGGCTATGGCTGTATTACAGACGAACTAATACAAAAGAACACCCAGACTCCGATCCTGTGTATGCGTATGTATTGTAAATTTTGCACAAGCAGCTACGATTGACGACTTAGTGCAGAATTTGTAATACATACGCATACACAGAATCGGAGTCAGTGTGTTCCTTTGTACGTTTACACGAGCTGTATTAAAACACCACTAGTAACAGAAATCGGCGAGTTTTTTAGTAGATGTCGTATTGGTGGAATCGATAAAGAAAAATCGACAATATTAGCGCTCATTGATTTTATGGATTCTATTGAAGAAATGTTCACTCACGCTACAAACACCCTCTCCTACTTTCGTGTATGTACACAAGTGGCTGGGAGCAACGATGTCACCATGAATTGCTTCGCATTCGTCATTGGAAATCGCTGTCAATTTTATAACTTGCAAAAGTTGTGGTGCATCACCCCAAGCCTATTTCGACGTCAAAACCAATCAAAACTCAATGAAAACCGAAAAGAAATCATTCAAAGAAACGCAAAAGGAAATCACTCACAGACAATCGACCCCAGCCAGTTGCCAGAAGAACGGATCCAGCGTTTACAAAATTCGACGAGTATTTGATCGGCTGCACTTTTTCATTGAAATAGATCTTATTTACTTTAATTAACCCGATATCTAATGAGAATTAAAAAGAAATGAGTGAATTTAATGCAAAAAATTCAAATCCAAAAAGTTACCATTAGCAAAACTTGGTTGATTAAATTTTTCATGAATTATATACTTTTCCGGTGTGTAACGAACTCCGCCCGATTTTACATCATTGGTCCCAGCCAAAATTTGTACGCCTTGTATTCCACTGGATAAACATTTTTACAGAAAATGACAGGTGAATGAGAATGATTTAAGTATTTGATTCTTTTAAGTTAAGGTATTAAATGGTTTATATAGACCCAAGAAGTGAAAATAAAAAGTACTTCTTACATGGCGAGACAATGGGCTGCACTTAGGATCCATTGATCGCCGACGATGACGCATCCACAAAAATGCCGTCCATTTTGCTGCATTGAGCATTGATATGGAGCCTGACCGTCCGTGGCATTGGTGCCGCCAACAATACGTGATGATAGCGGTGGGTATCCAACTAATTTAAACATTTATTCATTATTTCCGAAGAATGGACATTTTTGAAATCTTAAATAAAAAGTACGGTATATTACTTTCAGAACGTAAACTTATGCGAGCAGAAATGACTCCGACAACACAAAACAAAACAAATAATTTCAATTTCATTTTTTCACTAAAACTTTGTCTTAATTGAGCTCACGAAACATAGCCAATTTTTCAAAACACAATGATTTTTAAAGCGATCGTTGCAGCTATTTATAGTGAAAACGTTTCGCAATTTTTTTTGAAGAGGCTTTATCGAATTTGAACATTTCTCTCTTTAGAGTGCCATTTGCAAGACATATAGAATCACATAGTACGCACATTGAATCAAAACCGTTAAGTGTCGATAAAAATAACTTTTTGTTCGCAGCAAAAAAGCAGGTAAATTGATTTGATGAGGAGGGCAATTGGTCAAATTCAGGTCAATAGCACTAAAAATGAATGGCGTGCTTTAGATTTGCAATTAAAGTACTCGTCTACAACTGAAATGCAACAGAGTTTTGGTGTCATTTATTTATGAATGAGTGACACCTTCTTCATTCACAACGTGTGAGTCACAGATTTTTTTCAGTCTGTTGTAATCCACCGGATATAGACCCCATAAAACATTGATAATTTAAATTACGTGCAATTTTTGTCAGCTCTGATATATATTCAATGATGACTTTGTTAAATTAAAAAATTGAGTCGTTGTTCATGATAAAATCTTTGTATATATAAATTTCATCTTTTTTATTTCCATTGAACGATGGGTTCTTTGTCTCTTCCCATCGATAAAAATAAATATGAACGGCTGCGGTTAAAGTTGCGATAAGTAAAATTGGTCTCGCACTTGCAAATACAATGGCAAGAATAGTCATAATCAAAAGAAATAGCGGCAGAAAAAATGGGCTTATCCACGGGCTCACGTAAATTCTCTTGAATAAATTATAAACAATCTTTGATGAACTCTCAACATGAGGGTGGTATGGGTATGGCTGGATTCTCTGTACGACCGGTACAATAAAACGCTGGAAAATTCATTATTGCCATTGTCACAATCGAGCGATTGTAACTCAATTTCATTTCCAAAATTCAGGGCATCGATCAATGATTGCTGAAAACGTTTTCTAATTGTGTGATGTTCATGGTTGTAACTGGACAGTTTAAACGACAGCCCGCTTCCTTCTTCACCTTCAATCATGAACCTTATGTACTCGATGTGTCCACGTTTACAAATTCTTTGTTGCGTTGCATTCGAAGCATTGCAGAGACCGAGGTTGATATTACCTACGAGAGAGAGAGAGAGAGAGAAAAGAATTTGGAAAAAATAAAGAAATGGAAAAGAGAGATGAGGAGAGAAGCAAAAAAATTAATGATAAATTGAAAACGGCATTAATTTCAATAGAAAACTGAAAAATCTGGTATAAAAGTTACCAAATACAAATGCGATGCACAGAATTTGAAATAGTTTCACCTCCGTATATTGTTACTAGAACTCACAAAATCAAAATATTTGGATAGTTCTAAGTCTCTCTTACTTCAATAATTAAAAAAAAAACTGCAAAACTTCATTTGAAGAGTATTAAATCAAATGCTACTTTGATTCTAAAGAAAAAGCCCACTGCGATTCCAAGATTGAGATTGATTCAATGATTTTTCTATGAACATTTCAAATTATTTCATAAAACGACATAACTTTCATAACTGATTATCAATCTACGTGCTTTTTTAGTGCAACCAAAAAGTTTATAGAACTGGTTTTTATCGATACTTAACTATGTTGATTCAATGTGCATTAGGGTGTTTCCCATATCTGTAAATAGAAAAATGGTATTTATTAATTTAAAGTAGGCAAAATTCTATGTTAGTTGATGGCATTTGTACAACGAAGCGATTGATGTTAGCACTTCCCGAAGCAAAAAACTGTTTTCAAAATCTAATGATACTTACAATGGAAAAACGCTCTGTTTGTACTCCCGCACAGCCATCTCAACCAAATGGGAAATGACTTTTTTTGTGCGTAACTAACCCACATATTCGGGATAGCAGTTACGTAACAAATGTTACTTATGATTTATTTTATTTTATTGTATGGTATTGTGATGATTAGTTGGCTGCTATTCGAACTCGGGCTCGGATATGTCCACGTCGTTATCGTCGTCGAAGACGGCGGCATCGGCGTTGATTTGATTCCAATATCGGTTGATTGCAGCAGGTATTGGAAGTCCAAGCAATGTCCATAGTCCTGATCAATCGAAAAAATGAATCTTTTTTTGCGATCATTCAATCACATTGTGTATCAATATCCTTACCTTCCAGTAGAATGTTCTTAGCAGCCACGACGTCACGATGCCAAGTCACGGTGCATTCGAGGTCTAATTGCCATTTTTTGTAGTAAGGTTTTACTCTTGACATTAGCTCCTCTTCTATTTCAAATGCTCCGTTCAATGTGCGTTGTAACTGTCGATATGTAGATGTATCTGTCTTGCCAAACTTAGACACAATTTTGGTTGGCAGCAGTGTTATGGCGTTGGGTATGCACCGACACATCTTGAATTTGGCCGATTTGGGTTGGTTTTGGAATCGGCACATACATCTTGCGTCTGTTTGAGATGTTCCCCATTCGTCCATCGGCACGACAACAATGTATGGTCGCTTCTTATATGCCTGCATCAGTTTGCGTACACCCGGACACCGCACGTGTTTTTTAATTCTTATCGGGCAATCAGGTGGTACTTCGCCATCAGCACCATGGAATAACAGAGTCGGTTCCTTATTGGTGATCTTGTTCACAAATCCGTCGATAGCTTTGTTGCTCCTAATGTATTTGTCCAAGGCGAGTCTAGTGTACTTTGCAGTCGAGTAAGCTTCGATTCCATGTTTGGTCATCTTAACTCGATGCTTAATATAGCTCAGCCACTGTGAACCTTTTGGTGATGGCATCATTGCGTACAGCTCACGATTCTCTCGATCTTGTCTTTCTTTCTCGATGAAATTTTTCGTGAATCGCTTCGCTTTTGCGTTTCGTACATTTTGATGTGTCTCCCAATGGAACTGCTTGCTCTTTTTAACAAAGTTGATCTGCGAATAAATCGAAAAAAAAAAACAAAAATAATTAGTGAACTTAAACACAATGTGCATCATTGTATTTTAGTATACTACACATACTTCTTTGCAAGTATCAATTTCATGTATTGTTGTGGTATTCCAGTTCCGCATGCCTGAATCTGTACCTCCCAATCTTTTGAATTTGCCCGCCTTCAACATGTCAATGATGTCCAATCGACTGGTGCCCGATTGTGTGTTGCTGGTCTCCTTCTTTTTGGTGGAATACTGCAGAGACACAGCAATTCCATCGCTGTTTATCGAAAAGTCAAATTTCTTTTTGCGGCGGACAAACCACCGAATTTTACGCATATAAAAATACTGATTCCATATGTAATCTTTATTCTCGTTGTAAACCTTTTCTGAAATATTTCTTCCACTTGGTTTTCCGTCTTCAGTTAACTGTTTCGGAATCAATTTTTGAGAAGACAAGATCTGATACATACTCGAAGAGTCGATTTTGAAGTGCGTACGCCGAAAATCACACATTGGAACAACCACCAAATTGCGAATGCACGGTAGATATTCCAAATCGTCGAGCATTTGTTTTCGTTTGATGATCCACTTTCTTTTCTTACCCTTCGGTCTTCTGCGCTTTCTCTTTTTGCGTTTCTTCGGTGGCTCTTGATGTGCTCGCAGCAAATTAAATTCTTCTATCTCGCGTTGCATAGATAGATACATCGGCACAGCTTTGAACCAATTTTTTGAATTAGTCGTGAGATCATGTAGGTCGATTTCCGGGAACACATTCAACTTATTGACGATGTCATACAAAACTCCGCACCGATAAAGTTTATTTGGGTCACTAGCTGGCACTTTGATGACCTTTTTCAATGAAACAAGGGAAATAGATTAAAGTCATGTTTATAAAAATTTGTCAACGAGTCAAAAAAAACCATTGTACGCTTAAACAATATGAACCATTGAAAACTCAGTTCTTTTCATGATTTGAATAAACATTTTCCACATACCTTTTCCTTGAGAATGAGTTTCACCACACAGTCGATGTCACTTGGCAGGTATTTCTCTTCAATGGCTTCATTTGTGTTCATCTGAAACACTTTCATCTTCAGATATTGGGTTATGTGTTTATCCGAATGTGTTTGCGAATTGGTGACATTGTTGTCTATGTATTGATTGCATAGATGTTTGAGGCCATTACCGAAATCTTTGTTGCTAGGCCAATCAAAGCGATGGACCTCATCAAGACCTTCCACAATTGCCTTGAATTCTGGATCGATTGGTGGAATTTCTTTTGCTGGTCCACGGGGTTTCCGTTTAGTCTTTGATGGTTGCTCTGGCTCCGGCTTTGGCTCTGGCTTTGGCTTCGGCTTTGGTGTTTTTTTCGGCTTCGGCTTCGGTAGTAAATTAATTTACAATTGTAAATTACAATGGAATGAAAAGAGAGAAAAAATCAGTTAGAATGGATGCGAAAATAAAATGAATTTTGAATTGAAATCAATATATTAATTAAAATAGAACTGTAAAATCCATGTTATCCATAGTTGATTTTAGTGTATAATTACATTTTTTGGGTTGTGCTTTGCTAGCACTTGACTAAAACATGTGTTGATCTTTTCTTCCCCGCTATTGGCAAAGAAGCTGAAGTCACCATTGTTGATGCCTACGTTCATATGCCTTTTGCACCTCTAATAAGAACAGCAACGAACCCAAATTGCAAATCATTGTAGCCTGTAGACTTAGATCAGTTATTTTGCCGATCAGTTCCTGCTGGTATGGCGGCCGAATTATTGATTTTAGTGCACATTTGATCGTCGTTATCTCATCTTTCTTTTCTCCCTCAGCTGGTAGAGACGGCTTGTAACGATTTGCCATTTTTCTATTGAAATTAATTAGAAAAACACACATTCGATTTAGTTTAAAAACGAATACTATTGAATTGGCGATATTTAGACATTTTCATTGATCCATATCGAGATTTTTTTATAGAAATTTACGAATGAATAAATCTCCTGCACAAATATGCACACACGCACACACATGTTTTAAATTCAATTTTTTCGAGCGACAACAGAACAAGAATCTATCTCCTTTTTTGGTACACACACAAAATGATGCAGCACACAAAAATGACAAAAATCTTCGGATTGATAACAATGGCAGTGATTTAGAGAAGAAAACAATGTAACGCATACTATTGAGTATTCAGATTCAATTTGAGCCCAAACAATAACTGTTTCTCTTCTCTGAACAATGGAACCAATTCAAAATGGGTATCACCGCTTGAAATGAATTTCACCACTTCACGCAACAGAATTATGTACTGCAGAATAATTGTGAAATTCATTACTTTTTTCATGAAATGATATGTTCAACGTTAAATAATTATTAGACTTCTTAAATATATTTCACGTTATAGATGGCTTATATTACGTGCTATGAAATAAAAATCAATTTCACAATAAGAACAAGAGGAATAACTGCACGTAAGCACGTAATTCAATTTTTGATTTTTCATTAAAAATAATATTTTTTATTGATGAATTAACCAATATTTTTCACGGTAATAAAATGATTAAGTTTACTCACACTGGTGACTTGAATTCAACAATTTGTCAATCGATTGATCAAGTGTGGAAAGTTCGGATCAAATCGATACAAAATGCACGTATATCGAAAATAATGTGTTCTCGGTATGAATGAAGCGGCGTTTATGACATTTCGAAAACCAATGAAATGATCGTCAAATGTCATAAGGCTCGGTTCACATCAATAATACTAATTCAATATTAAGATCTTAGACAATTTTTGCTTTAAAGAGTTTTTTGCTTCGGGAAGTGTCAATATCAATCGGTGCTTTACATTAATGGTACGACTTAAAACAGAATTTTATGCTCTTTAAATTGAAAAATACCATTTTTTTAATTATAGATATGGGAAACACTCTAATGTGCATACATAGTTGGCATGGTAAATGGCACTCGCAATCAATGTTGCCCTATCTAATGCACACTTATTGAGTTAAAATGCGTTTAACCGCTTTATTTTTATCGATTAAGTAAATAGTGGTTAATTTCTCGAGAGAACAATGTTTAGATTCGATAAAGCCTCTTCAAACAATTTGCGAAACGCTTTCACTATAAATAGATGCAACGATCGCTTTAAAAATCATTGTGTTGTTCAAAATCGACGGTGCTTTGTTTGCTCAATTAAAAAGTTTTGGTGAAAAAATGAAATTGAAATTATTTGTTTTGTTTTGTGTTGTCGGAGTCATTTCTGCTCGCATAAGTTTACGTTCTGAAAGTAATATACCGTACTTTTTATTTAAGATTTCAAAAATGTCCATTCTTCGGAAATAATGAATAAATGTTTAAATTAGTTGGATACCCACCGCTATCATCACGTATTGTTGGCGGCACCAATGCCACGGACGGTCAGGCTCCATATCAATGCTCAATGCAGCAAAATGGACGGCATTTTTGTGGATGCGTCATCGTCGGCGATCAATGGATCCTAAGTGCAGCCCATTGTCTCGCCATGTAAGAAATACTTTTTATTTTCACTTTTTGGGTCTAAATAAACCGTTTAATACCTTAACTTAATAGAATCAAATAAATCATTCTCATTCACTTGTCATTTTCTGTAAACATGTTTCTCCAGTGGAATACAAGGCGTACAAATTTTGGCCGGGACCAATGATTTAAAATCGGGCGGAATTCGTTACACACCGGAAAAGTATATAATTCATGAAAAATATAATCAACCAAGTTTTGCTAATGGTAACTTTTGGGATTTGAATTTTTTGCATTAAATTCACTCATTTCTTTTTAATTCTCATTAGATATCGGGTTAATTAAAGTAAACAAGATTGATTTTAATGAAAAAGTGCAGCCGATCAAATACACATCGAATTTTGTAGACGCTGGAACCGTTCTTCAGGCAACTGGTTGGGGTCGATTGTCTGTGAGTGATTTCCTTTTGCGTTTCTTTGAATGATTTCTTTCCAGTTTTCATTAAATTTTGTTTGATTTTCACGTCGAAATAGGCTTGGGGTGATGCACCACAACTTTTGCAAGTTATAAAATTGACAGCGATTTCCGATGACGAATGCGAAGCAATTCATGGTGACATCGTTGCTCCCAGCCACTTGTGTACATACACGAAAGTAGGAGAGGGTGTTTGTAGCGTGAGTGAACATTTCTTCAATAAAATCTATAAAATTGGTTTGAAAATGTTTTCTCTGGAAACGTAGGGTGATTCAGGCGGACCGCTGGTTCTTGAGGATGAAGTAGTCGGCTTGGCAAATTGGGCTGTGTTGTAAGTCTTTCATTATTCACACAAAATATTCATCATCAAAGCTCACTTGGAAGCTGTTCAATAATTTTTGTATTTTGCTTGAAATTTAAGATGTGCTCGAGGCTATCCTGATGGATTTGCTCGTATTTCATACTTGTATGATTGGATCCAGAAAAATATTGCAACATCGTAAGAGAATTTGATGAAAACCTTTCGATACGCATATAGATATGAGATGTTTCCACCAAAAATGAATAAATTCAATATATATTACTTATGAAAGTAGTTCTTTCTTTATTTCACAGAATTTTGTTTAATCATTTTTACACATTTTCTATGAATAAATGAAGAAAATTTACAAAGATCACTTTAAAAATTTTGTTTTTCGATCTAACATTTTTGCAATGTGTTTTGTAGATTAATTTGTATGTCAACATTTACTCATAGACCCGATACTTCAGTGTAAAACAAAATTGATAGTATTAACGAGCATAGAAAGTGAATTCGGAATTGATTCCGTGGCCTCTTTGCGATGTAATTTCGATGCTGACATTGTTATAGCCGATGCCGCCTTTAAGGAATCTAATTTGGACTGGATGTGATTTTTTATCTAAATGTCGAATACCAGCGATTGGAGCGACCAATGGAACCTGCAGACAATAAATTTATTTCTGTAAAAATTGGATTTGAATTGAATTTCAAAAGAATCAACTTACTCTGGGGAAGTGGAGAACGTGAGTTTTAACTTGTAGCATTGTTGATGGTACAACGACGGTTTCGGTGCCAATTTCACGAACGTTGTGACTGGTATCGCCCCAAACTTGCTCCTTAACGCAAGATGCATAAATGCATAAACACGACAAAATTAAAAACACGGACAATTTCATTGTAAATAAAAATAGATACTCAGTCTGCTGCTTTAAAATGTGATCTAATTCAATGTGTCGCAAAAATTCAAGTCTTTTTAAAAGACTCTTTTATACGAGTCGTATAATAATACGCCCCAATAGAAGTATCTTATCTTTTGAGTGTCTGATAATCGACTTTGTATTACTTTGCAATCATTTCGATTAGTCATATGTTGGAGTTGGTCTAATTTCATCAACGTTTGACTGGTTGAATTGAGTCACAGAAATCAAGCAGTAATCACGAGTACGTACGTGTCGTCACTTTTGATAGTCCAGAGCTACTTGAAAAATAAAATAAGATCCACTTGATAGTGTTTTACGTTTTTTTCACGTTATTGATTAGCTTTGTCAATGTGTTCAAAAATAATGTTGAATAAACACTTTTTTCAGCAAATCAAGTCATGCAAAAGGTGAAATGTAATATATATTTTAAAAAGCGATAAATAGCTGAAAGCGCTCATCTGTCCGAAAATGAATGATATTTTCATGAGTCTCTTTTCATGTCATGAATGATTCACTTCTTCGCAATTATATAGAGACGAATTGAAATTCTTAACGTATGTCTCACTTAAATTGGCACAACTTACAGCGTTTATTACACCGCAATAACAAATACTAAAATATCAACCAATGCACACGCTACGTTTATTATTACCTCGAGACTACTATCAAACTCAATTCGACGAAATACATCCATTCGCGATGGCGTACAAATTGGATTTACGAAAAAGTATCTCAAATGGTTTTGGCGGCTAAGTTCAAAACAAGTTCTGGATGTGTCTAAAGATGAACCAATCTATCTTCGAACCATGTATCGTGTTTCATGGACTTAATATGAATATAAAGATTCTAGAGAATGCAAAAAGTACGGTCGTATTCCCAATTTAAATGCTCAAACCCTTCAAAACTGTCATCAAGTACCGAAAATCGCAAAAATTCATTTTTGGTGATTCTTATGGTTACAGCAAATTCAAATTTGAACCAAAACAATACATTTAGACACGATCATTAGTAATCAGCAAAATAAGTTATGAAAAAAATCCAAAGGTTGTCAAAAGTTGGGTGTTTACTTCACCTCATAGCATGTTGCATTGAAAAATTCAACATTTTGGACAGTGAAACATTTATCGCCAAATCGAACGATGAATCAAGTGCAAGTGGTTTCTTTTGCATTGATTATTTTAGGGCACTACTATATAATTCTAGAGACGTCGACAAACCGAAATTTGATAAAGGGGTGTTTGTACGGTAGGATCTTCTTTGGAAGGTGTTTTAGAGCCATTATTCGAAAATTTAGTGCTGAAACGTAAGGTTAACCTCCATTACTTGCTCTATTATCGATTAAATTCGTTGAGAACTATCTGATTAAAGACAAAATTATGCTTTGCAAGCATGAAAAAAGAACCATCTTTTTAACTTCAGAAAAAAACACCAAATTAATTATTTCCAGTCTGTTTTTGGATGTATGTTATAGGCGAAGGTCCAAAATACGTACTTGAAACGAGCAACAATTGGTTGGATTGATTGAGAGAAAGTTGATAGAAATCGACAAATCGGTCTGCCAAAGCATGATTTTGAAGGTTCGGCGCATACTGAGAAAAATCGAAGACAATGGTAGATTGAGTGTAATGCAAATGTGCTATTCGATAGCCTATGAATAAAGGTTTATGCCAGTAAAAACGAATTTAATATTGTGTGTTTATTGTTCAAATGGCGGACGTCTGAATTTGTGCCAATTTAAGTGAGACATACCTTATTACGGAAAAGAGATTAAATTCCAAAGCAATCAATAACCATATGTATCAAAACAATACGGGTTTGTTGATTATCTCAAGTATTTTGATTGCCCGAAAGCTATGTACAATTTTGAGGCGCAGTTTCTTTGGAATAATGGTGAGTGTTATGACGGATAGATTGGATGGAAGTTTACATATTTTCTAGCTGAAGTTCAGTCCAGACATTGAAATTCCTTAGAAAAATTTTCTCAGAGTAAGATATGTGAGGATGAGCGCTCTGAGAAGCTGGAGGGGCATTTCCTCAGTGAGGAGCAAAATATTAAAAGTTAAAAAGATAATAAATAATATATTAAAATCCGGCTCTTCAGAGCGCACCTTCTCATATATACTGCTCTGCGAAACATTCTCTGACTTTGATTATTATAGATCAAATAAATAAATTCATTGTATTTGCTGTTGACTGGATGAAATGCAACTACACGCTTGGTTCCGTCTGATTTTAGTAAACTAATGATTAATTATAAGCGTGGATGCGTTCAATATATTTAGAAGTAGGACCCAGTATGGTGATCAAATTTTACATTGCTTTAAGCATGAAGATTACACAGTAACGAATCATTTCCGTGAACTAATGGGCTGCTTTGGATTTTGTCAATTACGTTGATTTACACAGGACTGTAAAGACAATGATCAAGGACTCTCTGGCCTTACATTTATGCATAATGACCTTTCTCATAATGAAAATCTCACTACTATCTCTTCTACCGAGTTGGGTATTTTTCTATTAACCTGAAAACATCTAAGTCGAAGCGAATATTCATAATATTTCTTTGAAGTAAATTCAGAAATAGTCAGTTTTATTAAAAAATCATCAATTTTTTGTATCCGAAAAAAATGGCATCATCCAAAATAGTTTCATCGGGTTCGGAGAGTAATACTTTCGCATCGAAGAAATGGTGGAATTTGTATCTGGACAAGGGCACTGCCGAAATATATTTTGTGTGCGGTATTGAAAAAGAACGCATACCAGCCCATAAACTGGTTTTTTCCCAGACAAACCCTGTATTCTTCAATATGTATTGTGAAAAATCCGATGCAAATGGTGTACTTGAATTGAGAATACCACAAGTGTCACCGAAAGAATTTAAAGAATATTTAAGATTAATTTACACGGATGATGTAACCTTTCTCGTTTTTAGCATCATGGAAGTGCTTGGCCTATCGGATATTTATCGCACACCAAATGAATCGGAGACTTTTGAGGCAAGCATTCAAGTCGTACAACAATTGCCGAAAAATATTTTTGATTTTCTAGACAAAAATAGCATCCAAAGAATTCTTCGAAAAATACACAACGTTCGAGACTATTTGAAAGTAGCACAAACGTGCGTTACATTTCAAGAGAACGCAATTGCAGCCTATCCAGCTCGATTTAGAATTTTGTTCATTAGTAATTTACGACAAGGAGACAATATTCTGTGTAATAAGGATGTGAAGAATATCTACGCATTTTTTGTGAATAATCATAATTAGCTTTGGTTACGGTCTATCCTTTATCGAAATGTCAAATGAAAGAAATTAAAAAATGATGAAAATGTAACATTTGTGAGCAACAGAAATTTCCCAAAATTATAAGCCTCATAAAGTTCGAGAATTTGAAATGAAAATATATTTAAGAACACAAAGACGAATCAATAACAACAATTCCCCAAAAATATTTTTCAATTCTAAACTTGCAGAGATGCAAAAAGTCATAAAATTATTTATGATACTAATGATTGTATTGACCAATACCTTACAACATTTGCAGATTTTATCATGCGAGACATTGAACCATCTTTATTATATACTAAAACAAATGTATACATTTCAAATGTATTTCACAATCATCATAGATGACTCGTCTTAAATGCCAGCCCAAATGTGTCATCAACTAATTATATTTTGATCTTTTTACTTCTTGCATCTTTTTACATCTCATGGAATCTTTTCATGTATATATACATTGGTACCTGATAAAAATATCCATCTATTTCAATGTTTATTTGTATCTTCATTCTTCAGTCAAATATTTACACTGAAATGCCCTTATGAGAGTGTGTTGAGAATGTTTTGTGTTACGAATAATTAAGGAGGAAACGTCAAAAAGGAAAACATAGTAGGTTTAAATGAATCGAGAGTTTACTATTTAATTATAGGAAAAAACATCAAATACAGTGCTTTGTTTATCAATCTATTTTATATTTTTAAAATATTCATTTTGTTTCGATAGAAAAATTCAAATCAAGGAGAATAATTCAATTTAATAATAATAATAACATTGTTTGGTCGCATCGAAAAAGAATTTTCTGATCTTCTTGTTCAAAACTATTTAAAAAACCTTATACCTCACTCAACAGTCAACACTCATTGATCACTCCAATGATTGAATAAAATTGAATGAATAAAAAGTTTGATGGTTGGCTTAATGGAATAGTCATTCATGGAGAATTTTACTAATAATATATTTTTCATTGAAATTTATTTGAAATTTTCTTTCAAACTTTTCGTTTGTTGTGCATTTAACGATTTGAGAAATGTCATCGAAATTTTTCGTGAGAATGAAGAAAAGAAAAATATGATTTTTTTAATGATTGACGTCTAAGGAATTATACGCCATTAACTCCTGTGAAATGCAATTTAATTAAGAACAGTTAATGAGAGTATTTATTTTTTAAGCCTTTTAAAGTGGTAACACTTGTTGTGGACGAATGGAAATGACGTTGGGAGTGCCAATATAAGAAAAGTGAAAGCACACGTTGACAGACTTACATTTCGTACGATAAACCTTCTTTTCAATATTTTTTTTTTTTAATGTAAAAAATGAAAATAATAATTGATCTAGAAACCAAATAACATTTTATCAATTTTAGTATAATATTTTTATTTGTATTTGTATTTTCTTACAAATATTAAAATTAAAAGTTCATAAATCGAAAATAACGCCATCTTTAAAAGCCTTGTTCTCCGCTTGAAGCATAATACACAAAACGCAGCTAATTAGCGTTGATAGTCAAATTCGAATGAACCGAACGAACATGAACGGTTCAGTTCAGTGCACTGAGGTGCCCATGGGCACCTCCAATAGTCTACCAGAAGCTCAGTTGTATGACAGACGTGTGATGTGACGGACGTGTTTTCAGGATCTACTTGTGAATAAATTAAGTTAATAAATTGTTTTGTGTTACCAAATCAAAAGAAGATAAAACACTTTGGAACATGGAGGATACAAAAAACGGAGAAATGATTTTGTTGCGACATAGTTTCAATCGCGCATTGAAATTAAAGCATGTAAGTAATTTTTTTCTAAACAATTTTTTTTCATTTGGCCAGTCAGCAGCAGACATTATTTTGAAAGTTTTTCAGCCAGTTGAATCAGTTTGGGCAACTAACGTCAAACGCTGAAATGGAGTAAAAACAAGAGAATTAATTTCATAACTACAACAATTACTTTTCGTATTTTCGCTCTATTTCAAAGACTGACGTTAACTACCTGAGATGCATCAGTTAGCTGAAAATATCTGTCTGGTCAGATATTGAGCTGAATCTATTTTTGTAATCGTTTTTTCTATCATTATCTTCGATTTCAGTTGCAAGTTCTTTATGAACCAACAGGTTGGTCAATTGGTTTGAAAGGGATCGATGAAAAGTTCGACGAATACGCAAACGCTGACGAGTTCTTAGCCGATATCGATGAGTTGGTTAAAAGCTTTAACACAATTTGGTCACGTAAGAATTATTTTTACTTGATATTAATGGTACGATTTAGTTAAATAAAACAGTTTTTTATAGACCAGCGCGATATAAAGTGTGCCATCACCCAATTATCTGAGCTATGTCACCGTGATGTCAAAAGTATTCGAACTTGTTCGGAATGTTTTACTAACTGGGCCGCTGATCCAGATGATTATTTCACTAAGGTTTGCAGTAAACCGCATTTACTGGTTTATGCAAAGTTTGGAGATTATCCATATTGGCCATCCAAATTGATGACCATCAATGATCGTACCGCTAACGTTGTATTCTTCGGCGATCACACTCAAGCTGATGTTCCGGTTGAAAAATGCATTTTGTATTCGAAAAAACATGCACTTCCCATAGAAAAAGATGAACTTTATTATGCTCTCAAGGTAAGTTTAGTTTCAATTTGGCAGCAATTCATTTTGATAAAGGTTTGAAAAAATAACTAAATATTGCGTTTTTTGTTCATTTCAAACAGGAGACGGGCATTCACATTAAAAAAATCAAGGAAAAGTACGGTTCATTCAACCCAGTTACTCCGAGACAAACACTCAACCCAACATTTTACAACGATTATATCTTGAAAATGTTCAATTTACCGATGGGTATGAATGAATAGCAAAGAAGCATGGAATTTGTTCAGTTTTTCTCAAGATTAAGCATGACAACTATGATGAATATATCTTAAGCTCTTTTACTATATCTTAAGCTCTTTTAAAAGATTATTTTAAAAAAGATACATTTTGAGAAGAGAAACCACGATTGCAGGCAGAAAAGAAAAGCATCTATTCTTTCTTCCCTCTTCGTCATCGTGAAACATTCAACTGTAACAAACTTTAACTCATTTTTATTTCAAACTGAAATTGACTTGAATTGAAAGAAAAATAAAGTAACACATCAACTGGATCTTTTTATTGCTTTTTTACTTTTTTCCGCACACACCTAGTGTGTAAGGTAAAGTATTGGAATCGGTCGAAAAATTAACACCCATTAAAAATGTGTTTTCTGGGTGTTTTAGGAGCCAGGAAACACGAATCTAGCGTTTTTTGATGTCCGAATGTATGTGCGTGGTACCCTGTACGCTGTACGCAAAAATTTGTTAACACGATAACTTTCAAACAAGAAAAGTAATTCAAAATCTGACTTCACCCCCTGATTGGGGGTGCCGAGGAATAGAAACCATTAGATTTTGAGCAACTTTGGTTGACAGAGTGAAGTGTCATGTCTGGTGTGATGCCCATGGCCATCCATGGGAAAAATTCAATTTTTCTTCCAAAAGTGATATTTAATGTATACTTAAACACTCAAAAATATGTATTGGGGAGTTTTTGGGTACAAGAAAACCGAATATGACGTTAGTTTTGCGATATAGATAACTTTCGACACACTTTTCATACAAAAATGTCAAAAAAATTGAATTTATTTATGGAAGCCATGCCTGTATGATATCGTAATAAGCTGAAACTTTGCACAGGTTATTTTTATCACACAAAAATACCATTTCGAGAGTTTGAAGACATTTCAACGCATATTAGGGGTACCTCCCGAACAAAATTTTGGTTTTTTCGCTAAAAAACGGAATTTTGTATGGAAAGTACCCTTAATATGTATTGAAATTTCTTCAAACTTTCAGAATGTTAACTTTTTGTGAAAAGAATAACCTCTGCAAATTTTCACATGATAACGATATCATATACTCTGAGAAAACTCAGATGTTAAAATTCAAAGTAATAAGAGAAAAATGCCATTTTAACATGGAGAGATTTTTAAACATGGTAAAATCTCATTTTACCCGCAACACATTTCTTTGCGGGTAAAACGGCATTTTAACATGTGAAAAAATCTCTCCATGTTAAAATGACGACAAAATGCCATTTTAACATGGAGAGATTTTTGAACATGGTAAAATCTCATTTTACCCGCAACACATTTCTTTGCGGGTAAAACGGCATTTTAACATGTGACAAAATTTCTCCATGTTAAAATGGCATTTTGTCGTCATTTTAACATGGAGAGATATTTTTACATGTTAAAATGCCGTTTTACCCGCAAAGAAATGTGTTGCGGGTAA